CATCCTTGAAAATATGAATGGCAAACAAGAAAAGTATGAAGACATTGGCTTAATGGCCAACAATTAGTGATAATCACATATCGCATGGATATACAGCAAGTATAAGGACTGACTTCGAGTTTTATGTTCGAAAATGAGAAAGTACAGATACTGATCTGATATTAATAGTTGTAGCTCATTTATTCAACACTCAACTTTTGGAAACACACTAACGAGCGAGTACATCAGAAATTGGCTCCAATTCAATCTAAATAATTCACCAAACCATTTGTAAAACCACGTTTTTTTTAATGAAATGAATGATTCTATTGTTCAAAAGATGTATAATGTCTTTCTTGAAAGCCTAATTTCAGAGAGGAGATATAGATGGATCTCAGTATCGACATGTCTATGGCTGTACATGTGGATTTGGGTAAAATATGAGTTATCTTTTCACTAGCACACTCACATCCATCTACATCTACGCCCAATCAATATTTATCGAAATGCACAAAAGCATATGAACAAATGATCAAACAGAAACAAATTGCTTGAGATCAGATGTTATTCTTGCTTTCATATTGTTAGATTAATCCAATCTTGTTTTTCTTCCATTTGAAGAAGGATGAAAATTGAATAATAACAACACATGTTGCGTAGATGAATTTATTTTATAAGTCTTCTCTCAATCAAAGACAAAAGTTTGTTTATTAATTTCAAGAACACTGTCATTCGTGTAGTAGGTAATGTAAAAATCACAGGCTTTTGTTTTATATTTGATCATGAATTTCAAGATGTAAATAACTCTGTATATTTGCTACTATTTATTATAGATAAAAATCATATTGATTACAAACATGATACACATAATTCTACTCTTCTGTTTTGTCTCCGTTGAATCATCTCATTTCTATGGTGGAACAGTGACATGGCGTCCGATGAGTAATACAGATACTAGTTCAAAAGTCTCCATTCTGTTCACACAATCGTATCAATGGCGACGATCTTATGGCTCTGCAACATTTTGTGATCAAACTATAATAACAAATCAATCACCTAAACTAGTCAGTGGATCGGATACGCTTCAATGTACTACCACACCCTCTAGTGCATGCGGTTCTTACTCTTCAATAGATATCGGTGAATATTGTACTGATTTCAGTACTATTGTTGATTCAAGTTCAGGCCAAATCTCAACACTTCAAAATATCACAGCTGGCTCAAAGTTCTGCGTAGCTTTTCAAGGTACTGCTTGGATCGGTTTACAATCAACAAATTGTGTAACTGGAAGAAAGAAACGATGGCTCTTTGGTTCAGCATCAACAACAAAAAGAACAACAGTATCAACGACAACTGGAGCCACTTGCTATAGTACAAGTGCTGCATGGTCAATCGGATGTTGTGTTGATTTGACGTTTAGATCAGATGGAATCATTAATACACCACCGGTTGCTACGATCCTATCACGTATGTATATACTAACTATACTTGTCGAAGTAATTTACTATATTTTCTTAGTTGTCTTATGTTTCTCATGCTCCAAGGTCTTTATCGAGTATTAAAAACGATTCATTTTGATAATTTAATCAAATCGTATTTTAGAGAATACACTTTATTCTTTGACAGCATGATCTCCGTTCGATCTGATATTTTCTACGGGACGTAAAAAGTAATATTGAATACAAAATATTTTCGTTTACAAATTCGAATTTATATTCTTTCGCTCAATGATAAAACATTTCTTGTCCTGCACTATAAGCTTCTGGACCGGTAAAAGACAAGTACGGAATAATGAAATAAGAACAGAATCACTAAAATATTAGATGCTAAAAAAAACGCTGAGTAAATAGAAAATAATAATATGGAGAATGAAAAAAGATGTGAAGCTCATTAAATACATACACAGAAGCAAGATTGGCAAGTATATTGAAAATAACAATTGGACTTGAAATGTAGAGGTCAAGAAAAAATTAAATATCAATTATTTAATAAGTCCATTATAAAGAATTCTATTGTCCATTTATTATGATTATCTGTTTCTTAAAAATCATTCATCATTTTATATTTACTTTCTTCATTCTATTCTAGCCATTCAAGTTACAATAGATACAGTGACTAATATAACGATTCCAGTGATTGATGCTGATAATGACTATACAAGGTAGTAATAAATTCTTTAGGAATTCTGTTCATATCATAGAGTGATTTTGTATAATAGTTGTCGATGGGCTCAAAAGACAACTAGTTTCGATGAGTGTGGCGATGTTTGCCAAACAGCACCTGGCAGTACCCTTTACGATGAAGACTGTGTGCTGTCATTTAACAGTTCAGGCAAAAATGTAGGAGAATATTATGCCGTGACATTAATGGTTGAAGATTTCTATGATCAGTCATCATATACACCATTTAGTAGTGTTCCTGTTCAATTTCTAATACACATTGTAAACAGTACTAGTTGTTCATTAAAACCTACGATTACCTCGACACTGTCCGCATGTACGGCAGTTCAAGTTGGTGAAACATTTAATTTTACGCTGACAATTACTCAAGGATGTAGTGGGACTACTCTATTAGATTTCTTCAGGACACCTCCTCTTTATATGATCAAAAGTAGTCTAGTACAAGTTGGAACGACTAATACATGGGAAATCACTGAAACATGGACACCAAGGACATTACAGGTAGGGTCTCAAGTTTACTGTGCTGTGGCCACTGACAGGTAGTATACATGTTTGATTACAGTAAGAACTTTGGTGCATTTTTTTTCATCTTCTTTCTAGTTTGAATATACAATCAGAACAATACTGTCTTACATTCACAGTTGTTGCTGCTGGCTCATCCCTTGCATGTAAAGTTTTATTTCAATTCTTACTATTTTATCTAACCACAAAATCTATCATTTTAAGGTCCTGGAGATGTTGTGTCAAGTACAAATGCAGCGTAAGTTGTCGTATACAATTGGGAGTGTGTGAGTGTGGCTGAAATATTGATAATATTTTCATATCTACATCCGATATCTACAGCCACACCCACACCCTCATACTTGAAGAGGAAAAGCGAGACTTCGATTCTCCAAAGTACGAATGAACGACCGTACTTTATCCGTGCTTTCACTTGTCCTGCACTTGTACTTTGAAGTACTGAAGTCTTGTTGTTTCAATATTGTCCCACTCATACTCAGCAGAGTACTTTCAGAAAAGTATTCTCACTTTTAAAATATCTATCATCGTTCACTAAATATAATATCTTATAGAGCAAGTAATGCGGGAACCGGTGTAAAAAGTAAGTGTCTATCAAATAAATATTATGAAAGAAAATAAATTTTATCTTCATATAAAACAAAGGTAACGACGCATGGATTATTGCTTTGTCGGTATTAGGATTTCTTTCACTATTGGGCTTATGTTGTTGCTGTTGGTGGTGTTTGTTGTAAGTTCATTTTTATTTACAATTGTCTTTTTAAAACAGAAATGGGATATTTTTTTTGTCTACTTAGTGCCAAAGGTCGTCGTCGTCGGACAGATAAAGAGAAGAACAACATTTCAAAAGACTTGTCGATGAATGAGCAAAATTCAGATCCATTAGAATCCAGTTTTTCAACCGAGCGACAATTAGAATCTGGTAAGAAAAAAAATTATCCCAAGAAAAAAACAACAAAAAAGAGCATCATGACTAAGCTATTTGATTGGAAGAACAGTATATCAACAATTAGCGAACCAACAACTAATAGTACACTGATGAATTTGCCCTATCCAAGCTCTACATTTAGCATATCGAAAGATACAAGTTATCAACCAAAATCAAATATGCATAGTATGAGTTATGCATCTGTAACTCGCGTTAGTCTGATTGACAAACCATTAGCAAGTGAAGAAAACAAAAATATTAAACTTCCAAATGTCAATGATGACATTGAATTAACGAAAACTAGTACTAAGAAAAACTCGTCTTCAAAGATAATCAGATTATCGAGAGGAAATTCAATAGGACCATATGATAACAGTATCAAAGCATCAAAATTAGCTCTTTCATCTCAACCGAATACACAGATAACAGATGAATTATTTTCAAAAACACAATCAACTGGTTCAGTTAGTGTAAGCAGAGTGAATCAATCAAGTTTACCAAAAAAGAATAGTTTATCACACATGGCGAATGATGGTTTATTGCCAGTTAAGAAAGGACAAACTGGAGTAACGAGTACGACTGTGTTGCCTCAATCAAATGTGGCATCTTACATGCCTAATGAAGGTAATGCCAAAGCGGCTAAATTATCAAAATCAATAAACATTCAAAAAAATTTGTTGCCCACCAGTAGTCAAAAACAGCATGGCAAAGCCAATGTTTCAAACAATGGTGTAAAAAATATATCTGTTACTGTTAGCAAATCATCTCGTGGAAAATTATCTACAAATACATAAATTTCAATTTATAAATCATAAAATAAACACTACTGTAACTCTTCGAGTAGCTCGCCTAACCCCGAAAATTAATGTTATTAAAATACCATTATTTTTCAATTTTCTTTTTGACTAATATATTTTCTAGTTTTTCGACTAATAAAATACATTCATTAAAAACATGAATATTTTTTCAATTTCAATTCTACATTTACAAAAGAGTTACAATTGAACTCATAGCAGAGAAATGATTCATGCAGGCTATTGATTAAAATCAAAAATCGAGTTTTCTACTTAATAATAAATATAGACTGTTCATAAACTCAAATATTTCAATCGTTTCTATGATATTCCTTTAAAATATTAAAAGAGATTAGATACCTTAGAGTATATTTTGTTCATTTGACTTAACAAGTAATACCAAGTGTCACATATTGATTTCATTCAAATTTTGAAAATCTGAACTAATCAAACTCAACATAATAGCAATTATTTGCTCTTTAAATTCTATTAGAAAAAGTCATCATAAACGAAATTTCGTTCGAACTGGAGACGAGTTTTAATAATATTTGGGTCACTTCAGTCCAGCCCTATTTATGAAAACGTGGTCCGTTTCGAGCTCTGGTAGATATTTATAGATCAGAAAAACACAATAACAAATGATATAGTACCTACAATGGATTTAACACAATTTAAAGTTTATTGTATAAAAGTTCTTTCATTTACGAAATATGTCAATAAACTTCAATAATAACGATGGATAGCGTTGGAAGATAATAATTTAAAGGGTATGTGTGTAGGTGTGCGGATGGATGTGGATGTGAATGGAAGGAATATGCTCACACCCAGCCACACCCACATCCTCATTCGATGGACACGTGTGGATATGAGTGTGGGTGTGGATATGGGCACAAGGCGTCGCTGTGGGAGTGAGTATAATGATGATTAACTCCCAATCACATTTATACCCACACATACCCATATACCTATCCTACACTCATACCCACACCCGCACCCTTGTTCTAGATTGGTCGTGTATAGTTAGTCAGTCAGAAGATGCACATTCTATCTCTTACTACAATGCATTACACGAAAAGAAGAATGGCCTTTTATCTATTCCACCTTTATTCCAAGCATGCTTATCAATATTTTTCGTTTCGATAAGAATATAAAATAAAATGTAAGTAGATAGGAGCATTTTCATATTTTGCTTGTTGACGTTGGTAGGTGGTATCACATATTTGCTGTATTAACACATTGCGTTACGTTATTTAGCAAACTTGTCAGATATGCGAATGGATGTTAGGAGATGAATTAAGCTTGTATACGTAGATATTATTTTGAAGTAATTGTATAACATAACTGTTTATGACAAAATTCGAATAATCGAAATGCTCGATTTTCATTTAAAAATGTTCTAACTATTGTCCAACGTTAAATGATTTTTCTCATAACTGTTGAGGTCCCTCCCTTTCCGGAATTTCTCGAGAACGGCTCGACGAAAAGTAATGAAACTTCCAGGGTAAACAGATCTCGATGAGTAGAGCAAAAGTTGTCATAGACTCAAAATTTTCAAATACTTCCTTCACGGAGTTATAGGAGTCACAATAGTCAAAAATGGGTAGAAGTTCACCCATAAAATTTTATACTTCGTCCTCCTCAACTGAAATTTTTTTTGTGACAGCTAGGATCAAACTGATATGTGTCTTTTTTTCACCGAAAAATATTCCTCTTACAGCTCAAGAGAGGCAAAATACTACAGACAGTATCAAAAAACGTGTTTTTTTTTCAATAGTGCTGGTTTTCTAACGACTGCCCAATTCCATAGGAACAATGTTTTCAAGAGAGAAAAAAAGACATCGAGATTTGACCAAAGTACTTTAAAAAGTTTTTGAGTCCAATCGGCCATATCGCGGCAGAGAAAATGGAGGAAAACTTCAATTTTTTGTGCAAAAATTGTGTTTTGAGAAGAACGCAAAGAAGATTGATTTTTTTTGGTTTTTCAGCGTATTGTGTAGTTTCTCTCAAGGTTTATATATATATATAACATAGGTTTTCAATTCTCAAAATGTGCTTAACAGATAGAGAGTATTTAAATCTATATACTAACCACTAAAAGCGAAAAACAAAAAATTCAAAAATTGTTTTGGAAAAAGGTGCCTTGTAAATTAAGTTATTTGCCATATGAATATAAGTCTTTGTATATTTTACATTATTTCAGTGGTGAACAACACATCAGTTTATTGTTATGTCATTTCCAATAGTTTCTCCATTGTCACCCGATACCAATGACGAAGTAATGCAATTAGCTACATTTTACAATGAAACACTAGGCTTTTGTCCAAACGGTGTATTTACTATGCAACATCGGCCGGCTATGCTTACTGCCGCGATTAACCTGAACAAAGCAGTGATGGAAAACCATGGTCGTGTGACTAGTGTTTTGAAACGTCTTATTGCTTATGTTGCTAGTTCCAAGGCGGGTTGTCAATACTGTCAAGCACATACTATATTAGCAGCTGAACGTTATGGAGCCGACTCAGAGCAACTAGCTAACATCTGCCAGTATTCTACTCATCCAGCTTTTAGTCCCGCTGAACGGGCAGCTCTTGACTTCGCTGTAGCGGCATCTACAGTGCCCAATGCTGTAAACAGTTCCATTGTTGAAAATCTACATAAGCATTGGGATGAGGGTGAAATCGTTGAAATTCTAGGTGTTATTAGTTATTTCGGTTTTCTCAATCGCTGGCATGACTCGATGGGCACAACTATCGAATCAGGAGCATTAAACGCGGCTGAGAAACATCTGGCTAAACATGGATGGTCACCTGGAAAACATGCACAGACAAAACATTCATCTTGAACTCATTCTGACACCAATGAATTATTCGAAACCATGATTATGATTATTATTGATTTGAATTCCAGTAGAAATATAATAAAACTAGAATCCTTTGTCCTCAAATTCATAATGAAATTTTAGATTTTTTTAGTTTTGGTGTTTTTGCTCTTTTGTATTTTTCCTATGTAATAAAAGATATTAATCATGTATTACGGCTATGATCATAAAGAGGCCGTGACCCGCTTCAATTAACCATATTGCAGGATCTCACAGTTACTAACAGAATATAAATAATTATTTATTTATTGTATAACTGTCTCTTGTCTTATTTTGATCTTTTTTCTTGTATTGTTCAATTTTTATTATGGTTTATACATCTATTGTGTAGCTACCCACAGCAACTATCATTTGTCAATAGCGTTTCATTTAATTGTTGTCAATTGTTCTGTTACAAAAAAAAATGGACATTGATTCCAATAACAGTAGTGATATTCGTCATCATGATTATTATCCTTTTAACACTAGTCGTCAGTTAAAGAAACAGGATAAATTATTGCACATACTTTTGAATACCGTGATAATTATTAATGATGATCACTTGTTAGAAGAGTTTATAAATAATATAAAAAATACAGATATATAGGAAGGATAGACGGAAAAGAAGTAGATAACGACAAAGACGCTATCGTCAGTATGAATGCAAACCATAATGTTGAATAGACTTTTATTAGACAGAAATATCTCAGACAACACTTCTTCACTTAGTGACTAGAGTAGTTGATAGTTCTTAAACATCTTACTTTTCTTCGCAAAATCATTTGTTATCTACGCGAACTAAGGAAGCTTTCAAAATTTGCAATATTCATGACATACTTTTTTTTCACATATATTTTCATTTATGTCTTCTTCAAAGCCAATTCCATGATCTGCTAGTACTATTATACTATTAGATAGCCTATAGTGTTCTCTAATAAACATCAAAGTATAGTCATGAAATACCAAAAAAGCCACTGCAAGAACAGTGATTACCATATTTATTCAATAATTTATTCGATTATCGATATTTACTCGATTGTCTTTATTTCAACAAAAAATCATTGAAAATGAGATAGTTGTTCAATATTCTTAAATATTTTACAGATCATTGTATGAACTGATTGACTATCAGTCAGCTAGTATGACTAAGAGATAAACGTGGATCGAACTGTCTGTATTCAACTCATCAAAACCTATACTCTTAATAGAATAAAATCATCCAAATGATTTAAACGATTCTTTTCATATAAATTATTCCTTGAAGAGTCCTGTTGGAACATGTTTTTATGATTTTGTTTTCATAAATTCTGCAATATGATTAACCGCAAATTTCGTCTCGAAATCCCGTAAATGAAAAATAATGTGTACTTCTTCGAATTACCCAATGCGACATGACGATTGTAATACTTTATATTTTACGTATATTGTGACCTACGAAAATGATAAAATTTCGAAATATTTTTTAAAAAGATGTGTCATAAAAATTTCTACGAAAACTGTTTAATGAAATTCCTAATGACTTGGTCTATTGGCTTTCGAATACTCAAATCATTAGAACCGAATCAATAGAATTTTTTTTTTACACGGCTTTTCTTGGCGAATATTTTAGAAAATGGTTTAAGATTTGCGAAATATAGGTGAAATAGAAATGTTGTAATCGTTATACCGTACTGTATGAGGTGTGGGCAGGAGGTATCATTGTGCTGAAGACCTACAGTCACCCTAAAATCGCCAGTTTTTGCCCAATTTCGATTATAAGGGGAGCTTCTCTCATTACGACAATTAAACTTCACTTCAATTAACATAGTTTGTGCGTTTCTTTTAGATCTAATCTGAAGAAATCTATATCAACGCAAAGTTACCAATCATTGGCTTGCTTCGTGCAATGTCTCTGAAGTTTTTGAATATTTTTCTTGTCTGTTGCTGACTGAGCTTCGATTTCAGTTCATATTTCTTTCTGTTTTTTCCCTTAGCAAAAATTGAACGTGATAAATTTTTTGTAAAATAAATCATCATTAACATAATACAACCAGTTGCAACTCCAATAAATAAAAAACCAACACGGTGTGCGTACTTTGGTGCAGGTACGAGAGATAGAGCATCTAGAATTATGATTGTACAATAAGGTATACCCAACACGAGAAGAATTGAAATAAGAATTAAAATACGCCGAATTAATTTCATTTGACGACGAGCACGCTCTTGTATATTAATACCATGAGCACCTATAACGCAAGAAAGGAAGACATAATGTTAGTTTTATAAAGCTTCGTGTATAAATCTCATTTTGTACTAGAAGTTCGTTGTTTTTTGTTTCTATCTGGTATAAATATTAGCTTGATCGAGAGCTCAACAGCTCACTCTAATTGTTTATAGATAGTCTCATCGACAGAACATTGATCTCTATAATTGGAATGTGAATCTATTTCAATTACAGTTTCAACTTGAATCCAGTCAATACCTCAGAAAGATGATTAGGCGCTTCATAATTTCGTAGTAGAAGCTTTAAAAACATTCTATAATATGTATATTGTTCATTAGACGAAAACTGTCAATGTTATTCAGATAAAGATCTGCTTTTTTTTTCAGATAGAGATTACCATCCTTCTTCAACTTTTAGGATATAGACTCGGAATTTTGAGAAAAAGACTCCTTTTTTTCCAAAATGAGAACGACCTTTTCTTTTATCTAAGATAAAAGCCCTCAGAAATCAGGAAGAATATGAAATATTTTGAAAACCGTTCGAGTATATTTTGATTGACTCTAGAATATTTATTTGTCTGTATAACCGTATGTAAAAAATGGAAGCAGTGGTTCATCTGACGTTTGCATAGAGCAAATAGAATATTACATTTCTGCAGTTGACTATGAGACAAATCGAGTGTTATAATGTATCTTCAAACATGACAGCTTTCCTATCAAACAATAAGAGTTTTATTTCAGAAAAGACAATTAACTTACAAATGAAACTTATATGTCAGCAAAACGTAGAAAACTCAATAAATTTTCTTTCATATTATTTAGCATGTTGACAAGTATCATTACTGTCTTTGTATTGAATTTACTACCTAAAATAAGTCGATATCATCCGAGTCTGTTCCTCTAACAATCAATACAGCCTCATTACTGAACTAGAACGCTCGATTGCACATGATGAAAATATGTCAGTTGTAACACATACCGAAAAATTTTTAACAACCAGATTATTACGCTCAATTGTTATCTTATAAAATAATTAATGCTCTGATAGTTAACGCATTTTTTTCGCAAAGAAGACTTTTTAAGTTGGATTAAAATAAGAAACGCTTGGATAAACAATTTACCTCTCGTCAACTTAGAACATTGACTTTTTTCTTATGATAAAACTCAGAAAAAACATAAGAAATAAGCAATCTAAAGAACTAATTCGAGAGCTTTTTCAAGTCATAAAAGGAATTTAGTGAAAAAAAAACTCTTCTTAAAGGAAAAAGAATTTCGTCGCTTCAGAAACGACTTATTCCCTTTGTTTGAAAAAAGAAACCGGATTTCAAGACATGAAGTAAAAACAGTTACACATGAGAGCTCGTATAGATCAACGGTCACAACAAAACATTTTAGCTCATCGCATACGTATTATTCTCGAACTATTAATCATACAAATCTAGTTGACAAAATAAAACTCACCGTTATCTTTTTGTCTTGAATACTTTGCTATAATCCAATATTGAATCAAAATCAACGTTAGAGGAATAAAATAGACAATAGTACAGACATAGAGTATTGCACGACTATTATCAACTGCTATTTGACATAAATACTCTTCTTCAATAAAAATTTGATTGTTTGTAATTGCAAATGGAAAAATCTGTAAGACTGCAATCATCCACTGGATGGTGATAGCATAGAGATATGGACGAAGACTTTGGTAGTACAAAAGATTGTAATAGACAATGCCAGCCAGACGATAGAATGCTTGAATAACAAAACTGTGAACCAAGGCACAGAAACTAATATGTGCTATATAGCCACGAAGTTGACACAGGAACATGTGGTGCATCTTCACTTTCTTTGATGACAAATCTCTGTAGAGAACGTACACAGCTATAGAAAACGTATCACTGGCAAGCATTAATACGGCTAAACTTGAATTACATGTGAGAATATTTGAGAGTGTATGAATGGAACGATTACAGAAGATGGTGACGATAAAGAATATAGACGCGACAATGCCAATTGAACTGAAGAACAGTTGAACAATACTCATAGAGAGAAAGACGAAAAATGGTTCGTTTGCTAATTTAGTGGATGGCGTTGATATTGTTTGGTCAAGATTAGTAGTTAGATTCATTTGTTGTATGATAGGTGAAAATCTAGAAAAGAAGAGAATATATGATTTGTTTTTGGAAATAACCTGTCTTTATGTGTTCTAGATTTGAACTTTTCAACAGCGTTTGAAGTACGAAGTCTAATAGTGATTATAACTTACTAGATGTATTCGACACTTTGCACTCTCAAAATGAGGTAAATGTGTTTTCGTGAAGTTTCTAATCCTAAAAAAAGAGTTGATCTGTTATCTATTAAGTCGATTTTTTTTTGTATTTCAGCTGCCTAATTTTTCACTAAAAAAAAGAAAGTTTTCTCCTTTTCTTATTCTTGTCTCACTCGGTGTTCATCGAGTAGCTTTAGTTCCCACAAAGAGCCGAAATAAAATGTTTAGATGATAGCAATGCACTATTTTTACACATCTTTTAAAAAGGAAAGAAAAAAAAGATGAACCTTCTCTAATAACTCATACATCAATAAAATATTTTCTTTCCATGTTGAAAATTGATTTTGTAACGATGAAATCTTATCGACTTTAGGAAAAGTATTAATCATGTACTCAAACACATCATGTCATAAAGAATTTAGTTTTTTACAAGTCTGTATCTTTGATAAAAAAAAAAGATTTTCAACTTAGTTTAACCTATGAAAAATCGAGATTAATGGGAGACCTACATAAGAGA